CTTAGCCTGCCTCTGAACCTGCCTCAGCCTTGCCCTCCAGGTACCTCTGCATTAAATAAAGACTTTTTAATATATTTTTACTGTGTTGGCGTCTTCACGGGTCTTCTGAACTCGGTTCCTGACAGAATAATCTGGCCAAAAATCTGACCCAACGCTGACACAGCACTTGGAGTATTTTTTTTCTTTTCTTTTTTCATCGTACCTGTCATGGAGGATCTCACGCTCCTGGAGTTTATGGAGCTAGAGAAGGAGCAGGAGTCACCATTCTGGGGAACGTGGCTGGCCATCAGGCCAGAGCCACGCAGAGGCTCCACTCCTCTGTCCAGGCCTGCTGCAAACGTCTTGTGCAGCAGGTTCATGACCACACCGCTTCAGCCTCAAACCCCTCCTGTCAGGTCACGACGGCGGCGGTCCCGGAGGTTTTCTGGAGCTGATAAGAGGGTTGATCCTTCTCCCGTGCTGGTGTCGGCGGGTTCCTCGGACAGCACCTCATGTTCTGCTTCTGGACCGGTCCCAACAGAGGAGATTGTTCAGGGGATTATGCAGATGGTCGAGGAGGCTGTGTGGGAGGTCTTTGCCAAGCCAACCTGCCCCCACTTACGTCTGCGGGCGGCTGATAGGTTAAATATCATCTTCTCCACCCATCCAGAGTTGATTGCGGTTCCAGCACTTGGTAATTACTACCTTTATGTCCGGAGGGTATATGGGTCTGCACTGAAGGATGTCGCCACAGAGGGTCTGACCTGCTGTGAGAGGTGGTCACCTTCCCCAGAACCCTCCAACGCATCACATCCTGCTCTGGCGGTGGTCCCGGGGGACGCATCGCATCCTGCCTCGGCGGTGGTCCGGGAGGACGCATCGCATCCTGCTCTGGCGGTGGTCCGGGAGGACGCATCGCATCCTGCTCTGGCGGTGGTCCGGGAGGACGCATCGCATCCTGCTCTGGCGGTGGTCCGGGAGGACGCATCGCATCCTGCTCTGGCGGTGGTCCGGGAGGACGCATCGCATCCTGCTCTGGCGGTGGTCCGGGAGGACATATCGCATCTTGCTTCGACGGATGAGGTCCAAGAGGCCCCGGCCCAGCCTGTCCAAGGGGCTCCGGCCCAGCCTGTCCAAGGGGCTCCGGTGAAACCTTTCCACGAGCCTGCAGTCCAAGGGTCGACACCTCCAGGCTCTGAAGAGGACCTCTCCTGCCCCTGCTCTGAAGAGGACCTCTCCTGCCCCTGCTCTGAAGAGGACCTCTCCTGCCCCTGCTCTGAAGAGGACCTCTCCTGCCCCTGCTCTGAAGAGAACCTCTCCTGCCCCTGCTCTGAAGAGGACCTCTCCTGCCCCTGCTCTGAAGAGGACCTCTCCTGCCCCTGCTCTGAAGAGGACCTCTCCTGTCCCTGCTCTGAAGAGGACCTCTCCTGCCCCTGCTCTGAAGAGGACCTCTCTGCCCCTGCTCTGAAGAGGACCTCTCCTGCCCCTGCTCTGAAGAGGACCTTTCCTGCCCCTGCTCTGAAGAGGACCCCTCCTGCTCTGAAGAGGACCCCTCCTGCTCTGAAGAGGACCCCTCCTGCTCTGAAAAGGACCCCTCCTGCTCTGAAGAGGACCCCTCCTGCTCTGAAGAGGACCCCTCCTGCTCTCAAGTTCCCCAGTCTCAAGTTCCTCAGTCTCAAGTTCCCCAGTCTCAAGTTCCAGAGTCTGTGTCCCCTCAAGTCCCAGAGTCTGTGTCCCCTCAAGTCCCAGAGTCTGTGTCCCCTCAAGTCCCAAAGTCTGTGTCCCCTCAAGTCCCAGAGTCTGTGTCCCCTCCTAGTCTTAGTCGTGGTCCAGTGTCCCCTCGTAGTCTTAGTCGTGGTCCAGTGTCCCCTCGTAGTCTTAGTCGTGGTCCAGTGTCCCCTCGTAGTCTTAGTCGTGGTCCAGTGTCCCCTCGTAGTCTTAGTCGTGGTCCAGTGTCCCCTCGTAGTCTTAGTCTTAGTCTTGGTCCAGTGTCCTCTGTCACCACACTCCCACGGTCCCGGCTCCTGGTTCCCCGTCGCCGGCCCCCCAGACTCCCACGGTCCCGGCTCCTGGTTCCCCGTCGCCGGCCCCCCAGACTCCCACGGTCCCGGCTTCTGGTTCCCCGTCGCCGGCCCCCCAGACTCCCACGGTCCCGGCTCCTGGTTCCCCGTCGCCGGCCCCCCAGACTCCCACGGTCCCGGCTCCTGGTTCCCCGTCGCCGGCCCCCCAGACTCCCACGGTCTCGGCTCCTGGTTCCCCGTCGCCGGCCCCCCAGACTCCCACGGTCTCGGCTCCTGGTTCCCCGTCGCCGGCCCCCCAGACTCCCACGGTCCCGGCTCCTGGTTCCCCGTCGCCGGCCCCCCAGACTCCCACGGTCCCGGCTCCTGGTTCCCCGTCGCCGGCCCCCCAGACTCCCACGGTCCCGGCTCCTGGTTCCCCGTCGCCGGCCCCCCAGACTCCCACAGTCCCGGCTCCTGGTTCCCCGTCGCCGTCCCCCCAGACCCTTCCGGCCCTCCTTCCTGGTCCCCCTCCTCCCACCCTGCTCTGGTTTCCTGTGGGCGTCTGGTATCCGCCCTTGGGGGGGGGGGGGGGGGGGGGGGGGGGTTCTGTCATGACTCCCATCCTTCACCCTCCTCCACTTCCTCATTATATCTTCATTCAGCTCACCTGGTTCCTCTCACCAAGCTCCAGCCAAGCCCTGCTTTCCCCAGCAACCTCTGTCAGCTTCAATCAGCTCCATTCATTCCAACTGCTCCTGTAATCAGCCTCATCCCATTCACCTGCTTCCCCTGCTATAAAAGAACCAGCCATCCAGTCAACCGATGCCAGATTATTACAGCCTTGCCAGTAGTTCTCCAGCCATCCACCCTGCCTGATCTTTGCCTCTGGACCTTGTTTTTTGCCTGACCCCTGCCTTGCTCTCTGCCTGCCACTTTGACCTTAGCCTGCCTCTGAACCTGCCTCAGCCTTGCCCTCCAGGTACCTCTGCATTAAATAAAGACTTTTTAATATATTTTTACTGTGTTGGCGTCTTCACGGGTCTTCTGAACTCGGTTCCTGACATAACCAGTGCAACTACGTAGCCTCTTTTAGAAAATAATGCTGCCAATTTGCCACAACGCCGAACCAGCATCAGGGAGTCAGACCATGGCGGTAATGTGGCGCAATCTTGTCCTGTTTACAAAAGATTATGCGATGACGGTATAAAGGTGGTATAGAGGCAGTCTCAGTGTTGCCACGGACTTCTGTTTTTCTTGGACTTAACTTGATTTTTATTGAGATTGAAGCCACGCTCATTACGTTTTTTAGCAAGCGGCTCCTAAAGGTGTCTGTCTTCCACAGTCAGTGCAGCCTCTGGTGATCTGAGCTCCAGCTCTAAAGTAGAGAAACTCCCAGAGCGCTGCATCTCTAGTTCTCCCCATTTTTGTGTATTTAAACAGACTATCCATTCATCCATCCATTTTCTTTCACTTAACCGGTGTCGGGTTGTTGGGGCAGCAGTCTAAGTCGAGAGGCCCAGACGTCCCTCTCCCCAGCCACTTGGATCAGCTCTTCTGAAGAGGATTCCCTGGCCAGGTGAGAGACAGTCCTCCTACGTGTCCTGGGTCTCCCTTTAGGTCTCCTCCCAGTTGGACGTGCCCAGAAAACCTCACCAGGGAGGCCTCCAGGAGGCCTCCTGACCAGATGCCCGAGCTACCTCAACTGGCTCCTCTCAATGTGGAGGAGCAGCGGATCTACTCCGAACCCCTCCCAGATGACCGAGCTTCTCACCCTATCTCTAGGGGAGAGTCCAGCCACCCTGCAGAGAACTCATTTCGGCCGCTGTATCCGCAATCTTGTTCTTTCGGTCACTACCCAAAAGCTCATGACCATAGGTGAGGGTAGGAATGTAGATCGACCAGTAAATCGATTTAAACAGACTCACTAGAAGATGAAAATGAACAAAGACACAAACACACACACACACACACACACACACACACACACACACACACACACACACACACACACACACTATTACTTACACACACTCCTGTGGAAAAAATAATGTTTCGATTATTTTAAATGCAGTTTTTACAGCAAAAGATGGATTTAAAAAAAATAAATACAAACAAATACATTTAATTCAAAGGTAATATACAATAGCATTGCCACCACAAACACTAAATTATTCACTTACCAATTTAGAAAGGAACTGATCTACAAACCAGCAGCAGGATCTGCGCACTTTTCGATATCAATAAGCGGGGCTAACTGGATATACACACACACATAAACAGCAAGGGCACGGGGTGGGGTGGTTTGAATAACAGCAAGTAGAAGCGCTCATCAAAAATTCTTGCCTGATGTGAACAGAGGAGCAGAGGGCAGCATGTACGCTTTGTGAGAGATCCGCTTTGCTGCTGATGTTAAACATGCGTTAGTCTCCGTGAGATCTGGATCTCAAACGGCAAGAGAACGCCATTCATAAACTCGTCTTCACTTCAACATGCATCATGCAAAATACGAGCTAGTTCAGTATAATTACATTAAAAAATGTTTGCATTGAAAGAAAAAATATATATATTTTTTAATTTATTTTTTTATTTTTTAAACAAACTAGTTCAGCGTTGATAGGCTTTGTTCAAATTCAGGGGATGCAGGAATTCTAATGCAACTTTTTCAGTGGAATGGGATGAGGCCAACTCATGGGCATCATGTGCACACAAAGGGGCAAAAGCACGAGTATCCATCTCTTCGATGGACGATTAAACAATTTATTGATACATCCTGAGTGAGTAAATCGTCTCGTAACATCCATAGACGATCTTTGACTGCATCCTCTGTCCGCAGCGGCATTCTTTCAGTGAACACGGCCGCCTTTAAGACCCGGGGCGGCCTTCAGGGGAAGTCCTCTGCCGCTGGCGGGGAAAGGCAGGCAGTCAGAAGCCCAGAAACACACACACACACACACACAAACGCACACACACACACACACACACACACACACACACACACACACACACACACACACACACACACACACACACACACGCTTACCCAAGCTCCTCTCCGACAGAGAGAGCGCAAAGAGGGATAAACAGAGAGGGAGACTAGAGGAACGCAGCAGCGGCTCGTGTGTGTATGTGTGTGTGTGTGTGTGTGTGTGTAGGTACGCTCGGTGCTAGAAACGACTGGCGGGGCGGAATCATGGAGGAGCTCAGGAAAAACGTTGGAAAGTGACCTAGAAGCAAAACGAAGAGAGACAGAAAGAGGGGAGAAGAAAGGAGTGTTATAAAGCTCGGAAGGAAGGAAAGAAGGAAGGAAGGAAAGGAGTCAAGAGAGTGGATCAGGGGTTCATCTGGAACTCTACAAGGATTCTCAGGTGACTCCATGGGTCCTTTATAAGTGTCCTTGAAGTGTGTGTCTGTGTGTGTGTTCGTCCGTCCTTGATATCTGTGTGGAGACAAGAGTGTGTTCCATAGAGGTTGCTGAAAAAGTATGTAACTGGAGCTGAAATGACCACTGCAAGCTGGAGTGAAGGGATCAAAAGGAGTGGCTACTTTTTAGGGAACAGCCTGATCCCATTTCCACACTCACACACACACACACACACACACACACACACACGCTCACTCTCTCTCTCCCTCCCTCTATTCAGAATGCTACTTTAAGTTGAGTAAAAGGGAAAAAAGGGAACAGAGGAAAACTTCATATTAAGAAGTCCACTTCCAACTTGTGTGTGTGTGTGTGTGTGTGTTTTCATTTGCACTGTGTTCAGGAGTTTCTTGTGCAATGAGTAAAGCACATCTGTTCTCAAATGTCAAGGAAACAGTGCTGATTTTAATCTGTTTTCCTTAAGCTTGGTTGTTGCTGAATGAGTAGTAGCAGCTTCTGAATGTGTGTGTGTGTGTGTGTGTGTGTGTGTGTGTGTGTGTGTGTGTGTGTGTGTGTGTGTGTGTGTGTGTGTGTGTGTGTGTGTGTGTGTGTGTGTGTGTGTGTGTGTGAGTGAGTGAGTGAGTGAGTGAGTGTGTGTGTGCGTGTGTGTTAATGTGTCATATTCAGCAAACAGGTTGAGGGAGGCAGATCTGATCAGAGGCACAGCAACAGAGGAAAGAGCGTGGCACTGGCTGAGCAGCAGCACATTGGATTACACACAGACGAACACACGCACACACACACACACACACAAAACGTCCATTGCCAGGAGAACAGCTGTCAGACATGTGTGTGTGCGCCTGACAGCCTTTCGCTTAATGCACGCTTCTTCCTCTGCACGTGCTGGACTGTTTGCTCTTATATTATCTGTCCTTTGCCAAGTGAGTTTGTGTCCGTTAGAGGTTGTGTAAATATGCACAAGTGGGGTGTAGAGTCGTCTCCTTAGACAGACAGACGGTGCGTGTCTGCCTCCCGAGGTCTGTAGACAAGTCCAGCGGTGAAGGATGAGACAGAGAGAGAGGGAGGAAGGGAGGGATGATGGAGATTTTAGGACAAGAAGAAGAGGTAGAGGGGGATAAAAGAAATTAAGGAGATGGAGAGGAGGAGACAGGCGCTGGCGTGCTTTCTCCAGGAGTGCTAAGAGTGCTGCTCATTCATAATTCACCTCTATGGCAAACGTTCATTCACATTTTGACCCCCCATGGCTGCTCTCAATGGAGTTCTGGCCCCTCAACCTCTCGCTGTCTCTCAATGGGACGACCCCGTGGCGCTCAGCTGGACCACTTCTCCTTCACTTCTTCAGACAGAACCTCCACTGTTTTCATTTGCCACGGCTCTTTTAACACGAGTGCTTTTTCCTGCTAGAGGCTCTGATGTGAAATTGAACTGTGTAAATTGAATATTGAGCTCAGATTCCACCCTCCACACAGATAATTGAAATGGACAGATCAGTGGGTCTTAGTGCAACTGTTTGACTGATTCCCAGCTGAAAGAAACAGCCCGTCATCCGATCCATATTTCATGTGCGAATAAGCCGAATGGTGTGTGTTTGGAACACATGGTTTATTCTGCATAAATACTCACAATGTTCAGTATTTCTGGTCGTGTTAGCCTCATCTGAAGCTGCACGCGCTCATCTCACAGCTGAGCGTCCGGCGGCTGAGAGCCATATGGCGGTGCGTCTGAAATGCAACGTCAAGTGGAAGCGTACAGCCAAGGCTACGGTACATTTAGTTCTGAAAGGTAAACATTACCTTATCAGCAAAAGGGATAAAAATATCCTGACCTATTAGATTTCATAGGGATGATGGAGTGTATTTATCCAAAGAAAAGAGGACATGGTGCGGCATGCTCACATGGGAAGTGGCAATTGCTAATAATAATTTCAGATTTCACTGAGAAGTGGAGAGTGCTGAGCAGGTGGTTTGGCGACATGTGGTGGAGAGGGAGCTTTGCACATGAAACACAAGCGGCTGCTCACCTTCCCGTAAAATACAATCATCTCCTGAATTTGCATCATGGTTCAAAATTCTCATCCTTTTTTTGTAGGAGGTGTTGCGTTACTATGACAACCATATCAGGACCATGTTTGTTGGAGGTAAAAGCACACCAGAACAATGCTGGACTTCCCATCCAGCCTTTCTCCTGGTGATTTGGAAAGATATAGAAGGCAGTTATCATTTTTGACCTGGAAGATTCGTGGTTTTTTTAGGACTAGGGATGCTTGATATTAACTCGTAATTTAAGGATGTCCCGATACAACTTTTTCACTTCCGATACGATACCGATATTGTAGCTTTCAGAATTGATTGATGCCGATATCAATCTGATACGATATCAGCAAAAATCATACATACGTTTCTCTATTTTGTAGTGTGTAATGTATGAGGTGATATTACTCAATCAGAGAACAATAAACAACAACCATAAGTGTGGAAAAAAATGACAATTTTTTTAACCATTGGTTTCAATGGTTCAATCTCCTACCTACCGGGTCTCATGTTGTGAACTGTGACGTTCGTGCTTACATGTCGGGTGTTTTTTTTTTTTTTGCATTAGAGTGCTACACCCTGCTGGTGTAACCCTGTTAATGCCTTTTTTTCTCCCTCCCCTGAACTTTCCTCATGTATTCCTTCATTCATCTACAAAAGGAGCGCCTTCATGGCTGCTCTCATGGTCTGCCTGTATCTGTCCTGTCTATATGTGTGTGTGTAACCTTGGTCAGGTTGTACTGTGGAGTCAAGTTCCTATGCTCTGATCTGGAGTGCTGGCAATAAAATTCATTCTGATTCTGATTCTGATTCTGAAAAAGGCGATCCTTAACGTACCGCTTATATTGGATATTTTTGATGTTGTCCGATATAATCCAAAACAGTGTTTTTGGGCTGATATTGAATTATTATCGGTATCGGAACGGGACATCCCTACCAATATGTGCTGTGTTCCCGTCTCGTAAAAAGAATAACTAAAACAGGTTCGGTCACTAGCAGCTATGGTGATGAAAGGTTTATAAATATATTTAGATAACAAAAGCAAACCTTGGGTGAAGCTTCTTGTATGCTAGCTGTGAGGACAGTGGATGTTCACTACACAGGGACACGCTTCTACTTCAAGATCTTATATGGAGCTAGGGACTTGTCCATAGGGCCTCTCACCTTTGGACTACTACGATAGGTTCCAACCAGCCTTGCAACCCGGGCAGGAACAGCAGCGTGCAGAAAATCAGATGGATAGAAGGATGGAATGGGCAATCATGTTGACTTGTGGCGCATTTGAATGGCCTTAAAGTTTAAATACCCAGTACCATAATCAACATAAATTCCTCTAGTATTAGGCTCTGGATGGTACAAGGTAAAACTACATGATGACAAATATCCCGTTGCATTTCCACTTGTTATGGATTTAATTCCCACTGGATCAGAACACTTTGATCAAAAGCGGTGGTTCCCAAAACTTCAGCTTCAGACTCGCAGAATAGTAGGATTGCGATCACATTCCATCTGGTTGAAGTCGACAATATTTGCAAATAACTCTTAAACAAAGCCGCAATGAAACGTTATTTAGCACAAACTTCTGTTATTTTCAGGTTTTCCCTTCAGGGGCTGTCTCCATTTAGTCCTAATCACACTGATCGTCTTACAATAAGCTCTGCTGCTCTCACAAACAAAAAAACATAGTCATCCATCCATCTTCTTCTGTATTTTTCATGTTAAGGGGGTAGCAGATCCAACAGTGGAACCCATAGAGTTTCTTGCAAGGAAATTTCTAGAGGGAAGCTACTATGGTAATCTTAATCAGACACCTGAACCTGACCTCTGTTGACCCCTTTTGACAATGCTCTACTCAGCGACAACACACCTCTCAAAAGCTGGTACCAGCCTATTTATTAGGTCATGATCCAGATCCATAGGTGATGGCAGGAATGTAGCTGCTGTTGCAGCAGCTTCTTCTCAGGCTGCAGCAGCACTCCTCCCATCCTCCAGTCTGCTGCCCCTTATGAACAAAATACCAAGATACTTCAGTTCTTCCACTCAAGTCAAAGATTAGTCAAAAATAGTGTTTTCCTTAATTGTTAGGGTTTTTGTGGCATAAAATATCTTGTGAAAAAAATGTATTTGTATAAAAAAGAGATTTAATTAATTATTAAACACTCTAAATAATTAATAATTGGTATCGGCAAGCACCGGTATCAATTTCTAAGCATTTCCCCATCTATGGGAAGTATTTCCCCATTTAGAGGTCCAGCATTCGTTGGAGCAAACTTCACCCAGAATTCTCTCAGTGGAAGATAAACACCTGCTGCTGTGTTTAACTGTGTAAAAGTCAAACTAAGTGTAATAATTGCTTTGTGCATCCTGAGTGTGATTCAGGAGGAGCCATAGAAAGTGCTTATGTGGAGAAAAATGTTTTAGATTAAACACCAAACTTATTTTAATGTGTACCTACAAAGCAGGAAGTCATTCCGCTCTGTTACACCATTTACCACTTTCAGCAAATATCTCCTTACAGCTTGACTATTTGCTTTGTGTGTGTTCAGCAAAGAACTCTTGTTTGTACACAGCTACTGACCGGGAAATGGCAAACAGGCTGAGAGATGGTTGAGGAACTGTCCAGGAGGGGAAAGATCAGAACATAAAGTAGAAAAGTACCATTAAAATTAGGGATGCACCGACACTGATATCGGTGTTGGTAAAAGTTAACTGATACCAATGCAGTGGCCTGAAGGTGGCTTCTCTATAACTTGTCGTTTCTGTTCATCTAATATTTTAGTTTTGTGATTGTTTCTATTAATATATTTTATTTTTTATCTACCTCAAAGGCTTTTCCTGCTTAAAGCAGAGAAGAAAATAAAACCAGTATTCTAATTCATAGCATTTTTTTGTGTGTGTTATCGGTAATTAGTAGGGATGGACAATATATTGGTATCAATATCGGTATCGGCAGATG